GACAGATACACAGAAGGAGGGAGAGAGAGAGAGAGAGAGAGAGAGAGAGAGAGAAAGCTCGTTAATGCTTTATCGCGCCGTGCGCCCGACTGGATTTGGCCCACTTAGCCGTTTCTGGAATCCTTCGATCGATCCGCTCGTGACATCCGGTTCTTGCTTGCATCCATTTCGAGTTCTGCTCTCGCAACGATGGATACAAGCCTGACAACGCGACCGTTCTTCCGCTTGACAATTTTAACGTATCCTCCCTGTCCCCCCATAGCCTGACTAAACCCCTCGTCCAAACCTCACTGTCATCGGTCTATTCTTCCCCACTGATATTACCATTCGCGGTAAGAATAGTGTTTTAACGTCGACCTACCAGAAACATCGATTATTCATCGATCGCACCGATTAGTTTTATCAACCGCCGGGAAATTTCGATTAACAACGAGATGGTTTCGAGCTGGTCGTTGTTCCATTTTTTTATTTTTCGATCTCTCCGCATTCGGGCGAAAAATCGATTAGCAAAACATCGGCTCGCAGGACCGTTCACCTCCTGTTTTCTTCCCACCGTGAAAAGGTCTCCTTACCGCTCGCTAAAAATCCATCTAACCAATCACTCTCTCAAAATCCAATCTACCCTGCCAAAGAATTCCAATTACCAGTTCGAGTCTGTCCAGAAGTGAAAGAAAAAAAAGAATCTCCAGCGTCCCCTTCCGCCCTCCTCCCCCGGTGAGCAAGAAAGAAAGAGGTGACAGGGTGAAAAATCAAACGGAGCCGGCAGGTAGCCGTGTCCGCGAGTCGATTGTCGCGACGATCATGCCTTTTTCCCCAACCGGTTCCGCCGTGGTAATAACGAACACGTCAATTTTTCGTCTCTGTCCGGCTGTCCACCCTCGCGAGCAACCCCCTCCGTCTGCAGCCAGTGGCCAGTTTGTTCCTGTGTGCACAGTGGCACTTTTTTTCCCCCGCGAGCCTCCTTTCACTCGTTATCGGCCGGTTGCTAATGGCACACGATTGCCTCTCCAAATTCCCTCCTCCCCCTCCCCCCCCCCCTTCGCCAACGGGTCTCTCCTCCTCCCCAGCTGCCGCAGCAAACGCTGCCACTTCATTTTCGCGGATCGACCGCGAGACGAAAGGCTCTTCGACGGAGAAATTTCAATCGAGGAAACCACTCGCTCGACCACGATCTTTCAATTCGAGAGAGGCTGAATTTTAAGATGGCAGATTAATCGAAACCGGAGGGGCCACCATCCATAGATCGGTGCCTATGTTCGTTGAGTTTTTTTTTTTTTTTTTCTTTTTGGACGTGACGTTTTTGTCATTGGCAGGTTCGGTGATCGAGGAATCGACGCGATCAAGGCACCTCCCGACAGGCTTGAGCTTCCTTTGGACAGCTTGCAAGTGAAATTTCATCGAGAATGGTTACTGACAGTGACTAGGGAGAATTTTGATTGTTCGTAATTAGAACAATTGGAAATTAATGGTTCTTAGTCGTTTTGTAACATTTCCTTCGACATTTATCGTGCAAGATGTTCATTTCGAAGGATCTTCTGAACCCATTGGCATGCATATTCGTCTGTCAGGCGATTTGAAACATTATTTACAATGTTTTCTATTAACCTTCTACAAGAATTACTAGAATTTATTCATTTATTTATTAACCTGAAGAGGAATCCCATTGAAACAAGGTGCAACAACATTAATTTAATTATTGATCAAATCAGCTGGATAGAGTGATCTGATGTTTAACAATTCATACTGAACCGAGAAGTCACGGGGACCGGTTTAAAATTTTGTTTAGCTACAAGAGAGAGAGAGAGAGAGATCATTAATTAATTATAGTTGGTTAATCCAATTTCAAAATGTGTGAATGTGTAGCTTTCAATTAAAATTGCCATTCTTCTTTCGTTTGAATATCCGAAATGAAAAGCTACGTTAGAAACATTGCTATAATTATGAACCATCTGAAATCTATTATTCAGGTGTAGTAGCTCACAAAAGTATATTAATTAATTTTCAATCACTTCGTAAACACTGACGCAATTGTCACGATTACATTAATGAAATTTGAAATCAATTGGAAAATGTATGTAGAAATTGCAAGATATTTATTGTAAATATATTTCTAATAATAAATTAATATGTAATATGAAAATACTTAGGATAAAGTGTTGAAATGCTTCTAATGACTATCAAAAGACTGGACATTTAACTATTAAATATTTTTTTCGTCCACGAGTATTCAATCATTTGACAAAATATTAATAATATGACATTGGATAATATGAAAATACTTAGGATAAAGTTGAAATGCTCTTACTGACTGTCAAGACTGGACATTTAACTGTTAAATATTTTTTTCGTCCACGAGCATTCAATCACTTGACAAAATATTAGTAATGTGACATTGGTTGTTATTTCTATCATCGATTACAATATTTATACGAATGTGAAAAATATACAGTCAATGATAAAAGTTGTACTGAAAAGAATTGCAAGAAGAAAAAGAAGACAGAGATCTTAAACGTTCGCTTATACACTTGTATTAAATATTTCATAACTTCCACATGTATTTTTAACTTTGTCTCAAACTCGAATAATATAATCATGACGGTCGTGTCATTTCATTTACGTTGTTTCTTTAACAGTATTGAAATGAAATTTTAAAAATGTTCTACATGACACAAATTTTCGATCCGTATATAATGCAGAGAAAATTAATAATGCCAATGGGTTAATAAACAGTCTCGCTCAATTGACACTTGAAAACGATAAATCGAATCTCGCCACTTTCGTGGGACGCTCGTTTATTGTCCAGATGAGAAGAAAGGTTTCTAATTGCGGGCATCGGGCGTAATTCACGAAAAATCGGCAGCCACGGCCCTCCATTCCACGAAGCGAGATAACGATTCAAGGCGCTAATTCGCCAGGGGCTCGCGTTCGATTTCCTTCGGGATGGACGAGATTTTTTTTCGGTCGGTCCGGACGATTCGATTCTACCAGCTGAAAGGGTGGCCCTATTATCGAAAAATTTCAACGATTTTCCCAAGTTTCCAGGGACCGATCGAGAGAGCCGGACAAAGAGAAAATTGACGAGTTATTTAATCTAATATCGGCTGCTCGATCGGGATTCGTGCCCGGGATAAAACGATGTACGCGTGTAAACGTTATTTCTCCCATTCCGTCTCTTCGTTCGCCGTCTGCCTTCGTACTTTTCCCCCCCCCCCCCNTCCCCTCATCCCTCGCTCTTCTTTGCCTTTCTCATCTCCTATTCTCGTTTGCAATTATGCACCATAACGTTAGCGAGCGTCACAAAGAGCCGGCAGTGATTACGCGGCAATTTCGCGAAGCTAATATCGCGATCGTTATTATTTCAGAGGACCTGTCGATCGAGGGGATAGGTGCTGCAGCACGTTAAAAAATCGCGCTAAGCCCGCGTCTCTCGATCGCTTTTGCCAGGGAAACGGAACTCGCGATGGAAAAGCGGGTTCCCCATGCGAAAGCACCGATTTGCAGCAGCTTAATTCACCATTTACGCGTTTCGATTCTACTTTGTACGCGTGTCCATCCGTTCGTAGGTTACCAACGGGCGACGCTAACAGAATCTCTGTTGTGCTTGGAACTCTCTCTTGAAACGTGAAGAACGGTTCCTGCAATCTCACGAAACCAATAAGGAAATTAGGTTTTCTGCTTAGAAAACTCATCCTCGACTCGAACGCTCTCCGATTAGAAAATCCGGAAATCGGATACTTACTGATTAATCAGATGATCTTGCTCGTCTCTGTGAAACCATTAATTAATCGGCAGATACATCGAGTGGCCGATTTGTCGGAAACGGCGAAGCCGCATTTAGAAGCGTGCATTGATTCGAATGCTGTTCTCGTGTCTCTGCTGGGTATAATTTCGGGTATACAAGTCCGCGGGAAAAAAAATTTGCCGGGCCTAGATCAGCTCTCTCTCTCTCGTTGGTTGGACGCGAGCCAACGAGAGAGGAGAGAAAACAAAATGGAAAAGAAGGGAACAAAGAAAGAAAGGGGGGGGGGGGGAGAAAAAAAAAATAGGGAAAAAGGGAAAGAAAGTGGAGGAACGTTGTGCTCGACGAGACATAATACCACTCAGATTCGAAACAAGGCATACATATATCACTCACATAGAGACACGAAACGAACCACACGGACACTGAAAAACTTGCTTCTCCAAGGGAAATGCATCTCTCTTGACACTCTTGCATCGTCTCACACGTACACACAAAGATTATGTAGATATATATGTACATATATATATATATATATATATAATGTATATTTACATGTGTATATATATATATATATATATGTTACATATATATTGTTATACGTGTTCCCCGCCCCCTCAAAACCCACCCACCCACCCCCCTCGCCCTTGTGCCCTTTTTTTGGTACCCCTTTAGTGAGATGTTTATCAGCTGTAGTACTATCAGTTTGAGATATTCGTGGTATGCAAGCCGAATCCCCAAACCCCTTTTTTTCTCTCCACTGACTTGTTGTACGTGTTTTTACTTCTGTGCCCTTGACAATCTTTTTTCAATGTTAATGTAATATATATTATATATAATATTACGTATGTATTTATGTAACAAGTCGAGATTCATTTTTTTTGTTTGGCTGTGAGAACGTACTTTGCAGAAATGAGTAATTTTGCTCGTGAACGGCAAGCTAATGATCCCAAACAAAAAAAAAAAAAAAACGCAATTTTTAACGATAATGATTGCTAACAAAAGAAAAAAAAAATGTACATGTAAAGAACAAGTATCGTAGAAACATAAAGATGTATGTACGTAAGAAACACGCATAACAGAGATAAAACAGTAACAGGAATGAAACATAATACACACTCGAGTAACAACATTTCGAATCGACGACCCGGTAGTAGAAAAAAAAATTAAGAGAAAAAAAAAAAGAAAAAAAAAACAAACGGGTCGTCCAACTGAACGAGTTCACCATTGATTCACATTCGTCTCTTTTTTCTGCTTTCAGCTGCACAGATTCCACAACGCGCAGGTAAGTACGATCAAATTACGTTGAAAAAACCCCTTCCCTTTCGTTTCTTCCGTCGTCTTAATTGGACCGATCGTCAATTAGACGCACGTCAACTGCGTGCTCGCGGGTCGCGTATACGCATACGCGAAGCAGAATGATCTTCTTTACTTCGTCGTCCGTCTTTCTTCCCCTTCTGCTTCCTCTTTTGATACTTAAAAGGGAAAAATCTCGGGGCAGGTTCCATAATAGCTACTTACGGAAAGGAAGGGGTGGCTAGAACTGAGAACATCATCGACTCGCGCGGCGCCCTTTTTCATCCGCTAATTACCAATTAATTTGTGTACTTTCGTGTCTTCCGCGGGCACTGTTTTTTTTTTTTTTTTTTTTTCTGCGGGAACTTTGATTTCGCGTGCATTACATTCACAACGTTCGTCGAATCTCTCCGGTCTCGATTTTCCTTTCGTATATATATCTTTCTTTTTTTTTTTTTTCGACGCGAACGTCGAGTTCGAATCTCGAAATCAGTCGGATTGTTCTTTTTTTTAAAGTCGCGTCTCGTTTCGTCCCTTCATTTTTCTTTCTTTTTTCAAATCGCCGTGCACCTTCTCGGTTCTCTGTTACGGCGGGTAAAATCGTTTTTCCGCAATTTTTTGTAACGATCTTCCCAAGGGATAGATGGACTAAAGAACCGTTTGAATTTTAGCATGCAAGAGGAAAGACGAGATGGCGAACCAGGCAGAACACCAACAGCCCGCCCCCAAGAAACCGCGCCTGGTTTTCACAGACCTTCAGCGCCGTACTCTACAGGCTATTTTTAAAGTAAGTCTTGTATAACTTAACTTACGTTTTGATCGATACCGCCACCCCGGTTCTACCTGTCTCGATTGTCCCAGGATGCTCAAAGACCGTGGGCCAATTCAGTCCTACCCGTTCATCCTCCATTACCATTAATCTTTTTATTACTATGTATTTTTCTATTGTCGATCGTTGTGCGATTTTTGAACTGCACCTGAAAAAGAAAATATGACGCAATATTAATTCATTTGTAGATCTAGAAGATGCTATTTTAAACTCAAGTTTTTTTCTTTTTTTTTTTTTTTTGTCTTATAGGAATTTCGAAAGAAAGTTCATCTATATAACTTTGTTTCATTCTGTTGAATAATAAAAATAATTGTTTTAACTATGTTTCTATTATATAAGTAGGTACATAAATGAAGCTTTCAATTTACTTTCAACTTTACATTCAGTCCCAATTAGAAAATCATTCGCAATATTTATAACGTATGCACTATTTTTTGACACACATTAACATTAACGAATGAAAAAAAAAGAGAAGAATTGATTTGTTGAACTAACGTCAATACGTTATCACCCTCGTGCAAGAACAATGAAATATTAAGTGTCTCAAAAGTGTTTCTCTGAATCTTGCGAAACAAATATTTATTTCATATTCATAAAGCATAAACTTTCTTGAAAAAGGCAATTTTGTTTACAATTAATATTTCTCTAAGAATCTTCGTCGAACGAAGAAAAGTAATTGAATTTAAACGAAATGTATGAAATGTAAATAATTCAATCGAATTCAAATTCAAACGAATAAATGAAACTTGAATAAATAAGTCGTTGAACGTAAATGAACGAGTGAAATATAAATAATCAAAATGGAAGGAAAAATGATGAAAGGCAATACCGGTTTCAAATTTTCCCGTAAGTCCCTGAAGGCTCGAACGAATGGTGAAATCGAAAGCTTTACGAAGGATTACGCGAAGTCCGTTTGCGACATTCACCCTCATAGGAAACCTACTTTCGTACTGATAACAGAGCTCCCTTCGTGTAAACGCGCACCCGGCGGCCGAGTTTTGCACGCGTTAATGGAAACGCTCTCAACAAATTCTCACTTAACGAAATTAGTACGTCGTCGGTAAATTACCTCGATAGACACCACGTGTAACCCGCATTCCATCGATGCACCATAATAACCGATGCACGGAGAGCTCTGTCAAGTGGCTTCATCCTATACACGCGCGTCCCAAAATGGCACCCGGAATCTTTTTAGGTTGATTTAATATTTATCTAGCAACACGACTCAATATCGGCCGACATTTCCTGAACAGAAATTTGATTTCCGATACTTTGATCGTTTCTTAAACGGAACTTTAATATTTATATTAGCTGTATAATTTTTAACTTCTGTCGTTCGAAGATTGCGAGAAAATTTTCTTATTTGTCCTCCTGTTGCTCAAATTGTACACGTTAATTTTATCTGTATGAATGTGTGTTTATGCAGAAATTTAATAACTTCTTTTGAATAATTAAAGTTATTAAATAATAACTTCTTTTGAATAATTTCACAAATAAACGAATCAATAGTAAATGATTTTTAACGTTTTCGTGCCTTTTTCTTTCATTTATTAATCTACGGATTAAAATCAGGCAATGACGAAGTATATTAATAACACAGAATAAATGACAGTAAATATAGCTATTGTATTGTAAATTTGAATTGAATTGAAAACGAAATGGTGTTCCATTTTTTTACATAATCCGTGTATACTCGTTAGCCGAAAGGTGGCCATTTTCTCATTACGAGTATACTCGTCGAACATTCTTAAAGGGTTAAGAAGTATACCCCAAGGATAGTTTACGATGATGTGAATGAGACCGTGACGCGAGTATTTTAGTTACGATTAACCCCTTGCAAACACGATGAACCCATATATGCGTTTAGCGTAAGTTATCCATAGAGCCGATGAACTCGCATACGCGTTAGGCGAAAACAATCGACACAACCGATGCGTTCGTATTATACGTTCGACGAGCCTTTACCCGATGCTTTCGACACAAGCACAGAAATGACAAATATTTGCGATGGATAAGTGCGTCGAGAGTTATCGCAACAAACGGTAACAAACTTTATTTCATACGTTTCAACAGAAGTACCGTGCGTTGCTCCAAATACAATTCACTTTGCATTCACTCTGCTATCACGGTGTTTCAACTTCGGAATGTTTCGTTCGCAAAACAAAAGTCGGGAAAGAAACGTTTGTATTTCTGAATTACGTTGTTCAGTAGAAATCTCCGCTCTCCTATTTGAACGTGAATTGGTTTCAGAAATGAATATAAAGATACTTCGAAGAATTATCGGTAACTCGTGCAGAAGATGCCAATTAATGCGAAGTAATATTTGTTTCTGCTCTCGTTAAGCGATCTTGTCAAACACGTTTTCGCTAAATTTGTTTTTGTTATTTTATTGTAGTTCGGTTTGGATTGTTCTACATATGTTTTATAACGTTTCTGAAGGTTTTGTGAATCAGAAAATACTAGAAGAAGAAAAAGAAAAGGAGAGATTCATTCTTATTTTTAACCATTGTAGAGATTTCTTAAAAATACACAACTAGTCATCATTACGAGCCCGAGTATAATGAACAGGCTAGAATTTTACACGAATTTTATATTGAACAGTTTCCGTTTCAACAAAGTTTCTTCAAAAACAACAGAGACATTCAACCGCTAATACCATCCAGTATATTTCATACATTTTCAGATTTTCAGCGTGTAAAATCTTTCGTACCACACGTGCATAATGCATTCGTAAAACGCTCGAATACTTCCACGCGAGCCACCGTGAATTGCGCGAAAATAAAAAAAAAAAGGGGGAAGAGAAACGAAATTTCGCAACTCGTCGATGGAAAAAGTCGTCGTTAAAAGGAGTGCGTGCGTTTCGGGAGGTGTTCTTTTCGGCATGCTAACGATATCGATGCTGGTTCTCGAGCGTGTGACCGCGATCACGATGGCGATCGAAGCGCGCAGCCAAGGAATCGTCCGCGAAATTATTCAACGCGGATCGATAGAGGCGGGTTTACGCGCGACAGGGCTGGAACCTACCACTCTCTCGGTTCTCCCGCGTCGTCGCGCTGTCCCCTCCGCGTTTTTCTCCGCGTGCACGCGAGAAATCAGCCTCCCTTTATTAATGCATGCGCCCTGAGAACACCTGGATGAGGAGGAAAAGGGAATCGAGTGATTCCGAATGGAGGAGACACTGGCTCGCAGCAAAGCGAACTCTGCGGAACATTATAGATAGATTACGGATGTTTATGCAAATTTCATATCTCCATCGATGCCTCGTAATTTTAATAAACGTGTGAATCTTCTGGATTATGCGACGTGGATGTCTATTGGATTGAATTTCGCGATTGAGAGGGCAAAAAATTGTCGTTGTCAGAGTTGTCAGTTTCGTAATTAGACTGTGGATTTTTATCCATTCGCGAGAAATGTTGAAAGCGTGAAGATTGCACAAAATTATATAAAATATTCAAACTTTAGTATACATTGAGTAGAGAAAGAATTATATTTTTTAGACAATGTTATTATTTATTATTGCACTTGTAAATGTATATGATAAAATTAAATTATTTTCTGAAAACTGATATACAATAATGGAACTGATCAAATATTATAGAATCGCTTTGTTAATTTTCAGATATTTTAACTGCATCGATTAAAACGATTCTTCTAAACTGACAGAACGAATTTCAATATTAATGCAAGATTTTTGCAACAATATTTAAATACTAAATGTATATTGTAACTGAGCAAATAATTTAGATCGACAATTTATCCAGTGCAGAAACAAAAATAAGTGATGTTTCTAAGTATTATTCATCAATGCTGATACTAAAAATCGATCAAAGTGTCAGGATACTTGCAAATACTTACAATAGCATATTTTTGCATCCGTGCTGAGAATTTTATGCTTTTTTTTACGTAAGCAAATTTATCAAAAATACATAAACATACGCAATCTAATAAGAGAAAAATAAAATAGAGTGTCATAATGAAATAATGAAATTCCAAAGTCGAATTTACTGAAATATTTAATATTGCTACTGTCGATCAGTGTAACTAGAAAATAATTTTTTAACTCTACGTATTCCAAAATACGTGCAACAGTAGATAAATTCGACGACCATGGCTACGATAAATGAATTTATAGTAAAAAAGTTGGACTAAAACTAGAAGATTGGTTGGATTACACACTAACCTAACCCGAGTCTAAACTTAAACATAACTCAAATCTGTCTCTCAAACCTAAACTATGGTTGACCCACTTTAATCTATAAATGCAAATATTTGAAAAAGTAAACTCGATGAAAGAAAATGCTTTCAGGGGATTGTGGGAGATGGGGGGGGGGGGCACAGGAAGATTCAAGCAAAAGATTACTACTTTACATGGATTAAATGCTCATGTGCTTTTCTCGCAGAACGATGGAAGCAGTAACGAAACAGATTCAACAATATCATTTTGTGTATCTATTACAAAATAGTAAACATTTGTGCATACATTGAAGAACTTCTAAAATATCTCAATCTAATCTCTTGAAATCATTTTTTTCTTTTCTTACGTAGCATTTCTCGAGATATTTGTGTTAATATTTTGAAATATGATACCGATAAAGTAGAAAAATTGAGTCTTTAACTGTTAATTGTTCTTTAACTCAATTTTAACTTAATTTTGGGTATCATTGGATTTGAGGTCATTTTTACTAACTATACAATAAAAAATATATATAGGTACATGCAAAAGAACATCAAGAATCTTGCAAAAAGAAAAATCTTAGTAAAAAGAGATATTCTTTTTGATATTAGTTTTTTGATATCATTCATATCACGAAAAAAATATTTTTTTAATTCATCACAGTTTGAGGAGACATTTAGATGGCCTACATCAAATGTAACACGTTCATCATTATATTTAGTGCAATAATTTTAATTTGCATTATTTCACAGAAATTTATAACAAATCATAATTTTCCGAATAA